ACGGATTCAACAATCTGTCCATGTGTGATTCAGTGACATCCACCATATTCGAGTTTTACAACCACGCTCACCCTCTTTTCCTAAGGCACTCCTTCCCATTGACATAAACTCACTGCCCTCTAAGGGCCCTGGCTAGTCTTCCCAGGGGAGCCCACACAGGTAGCTCTGCATAGAGCCCAGTGCTCACAGCTGATATTCCTTACTCGAAACGGTTATTTCGTTTTGGGAAGATTTCAGAGATTTTTGGTTTAGGTCTTAAAAATTAGCCCAAGGCAATAGTTTCAGGGATTACCCAGGTTCCGCCTCTGGAAAACCTGGCTCCTAGAAAAATGTGAAATTCTGCTCTGTGGTTTTCCTCTTTTTATAGTGATTCTTCTGTAGAATCTTTGATCAAAACTTTCAGTAAGAGTACTCAGGTAGTAACCAATTCTTGGGTCTCAACACAAGAGGAAGCGTTGTTTCTGAAGGCCATTCGCCTGACAGTATAATTCCTACTTCCTCCTCTATTGTTCTGGGAAAATAGAAAATAACTATTGCACCTTGAATGGAAGCTTGCATGCTTTTAAGAACTAGGGGTCAACCTCCTTATTTATGGAATAAAAAAAGACGGGCCCAAAGAAGGGAAGTGACTCGCTTGAGGTCCCACAAACCACCCAGAAGTAGGTCTAGAACCCAGGTCTCCAGCCTTCTAATGTCCTTTCACCACCCTGCTAAGTCCTCTAAACTTCAAGGCCACTGGGTTGTGTGAAAATATCTTGACTCTCCAGGGCAGCAAGGAACTCCCTGCTTCTGACACTAATATTCACACACTGGGAGCCGAGAGGCTATATATACTTCCCTTAGTCTTCTAGCTAAACGTTAGATTTCTCCCTGTGGAAGAGTAGGGATTGTTTCCACCCTTTCCCTCTGTTCTTAGTATCTTTGCCACATCTGCCCATTTTAACAGTGACACACGGTCTTCTTCCTGATTCTCAGGATTCTCTCCTCTTACACCCATGAGACTTTGGCTGTCCGTGGTTGGGAGGTTGTTTTGTTCTGTCTTGTTCAAGTGGAGTAGACAGGGGAAGATGACCAGGCTGTCTGACTGCTCATCTGTCTGCTGCCTTTAAAGATTTACTATTTTAAAAAGCATGTGGAATAAAGGAAGGCAATCTTAGATACTTAGATGAAAGTATACTTGGTACCACTGCAAAGGCTTCAAAACTTGCTCTTCCTGATTTTTGATTACTCAGGAGGACCACCAACAGCCCCAAGTCACTAAGAAGAACTTTAAGTAGAACAATAAAACGTATTTGCCTTCACTTTGGAATAGAGTGTAAACCCTGATCTTGTACTCAAAACAAACTTGAACACTGGTCATCTACGATCATGAAGAGCTGTAACCAAAATGGCCAACGGCTCCAAGTACTATTAATAGAACATATTTATTTAATAGTTATCTTATAATTAATTCCCTAAGGGCATAAAATAACCTCTTGAGATGAGTCTAATTCATGTCTATTAACTGACCCAGTCTTCACACACAATGGTATCCATTGCTTGCCTAAATAGAAATTCTATAATAAATAGTGCTGTAATTACCCTAAAATTATAGGTATGCATCTTTTTCTTTAGAGAAAGTATTTATAACCTTGTGAAGCCAAAATTCCTAATAACATACCTACAAATGGCCCCATGCCCTGGCATAATGTCACACTTTCCATCATTCAAGCAGAAGTCAGGTTGTAGGTCGCAGAGACTCTGACAAGGCAGCTCTTCCACACTCAGGTAGCCAGGGAAGCATCTGCACTGTGCTTCTCCACTCCAGGGGTTGACCACACACTCAGAAAATTCATTGCAGGCCTGAAACTTGCAAGGATTGGCCTGATCCCCTAAAACCTCCAACAAAACAGAGAGTGGTGCAGGGAAAGACAAAGCACAGGAATTGAAGTACATCAAACCCATCCATTAAAGCTTCCCACCAAATCTTACAGGGCAATTTTCCTGAACCATTCGACTGTCTGGCCACCGCCACCACCAAAGAATTTGACTCATCCTTGATTAATGAGCTTCTTCCAAACTTCTCCGAAACCCAGACCCCAAATCAAAACCCCGTGACCTGGGCCTTAACACTCCGTCTGTGTAATTGTAGGTCATTGCACTCATGCTATCCTCCCCCAGTACCTCTGTTCTGCACACAGTGAGTGCTACACGGGACAGGAAGAGTCTGGAGGTTATTTGGTAGAACAACCGCAGTCACAAGGGTCAAGACATGATTGGAATTGGAAATTCATCAGAAGAGACCCAGACTGGAAATGATTAGGAGTTCCCTGAGAATCTCAGAGTTAGAGGGAGGGAAAACATC